GAGCAGTAGTCAGACACAGCAGATTCCTAGAAAGTTGAAGAACTGCTTCTTCTCTCTCTCTCTTCAGAACAAAAGATTAGGTCCAACAGTCTGACCATTTCAAAATGTAAAGGCCTCGACCTAAGTGCAGACATAAAAGATTTGAATTACCGAAGACAAAACAAAAATAGTTGCCTCAGGGCCTGTCAAAGCACAGAGTCTTCGCAGAGCTAATTGGACCTTGCCTCAGAGCTTTCTTCCTAATTTACTAGTTTCCATTCACAGCAGTCTGAAAAAATGCCCTCTGCCAGGGTGGCCTTTCCATATTCCATTATGGGACAGAAATATTTGCATTTTTATTGTAGAAGATTTTTTTTAGAGAGAAAATTCATATAAAGGGATTTCTAGTTAATATAAAATTAAATTAATCCTATCCTAAAATGTTTTCATTGCTTGTGATTCATATCTATTCCCATAATACACCTGAAACTATTAAAAGAAAAAAAAGATATATTACTGGCCCTCCAAGATAAGAATAAAGGATCACAGGCATGGAATACGGCCAAGCTGAGATAATTATATTAAAACCTCAATTATAGAAGATGAGTTGTTGCAGTAAAAGATAAGTTTAATATGAAAACAGGAAAAGATGATCACAGGAAAAAATGATGTCTTAAATCTGAATTGTCTACACCAGACCAGTCTTTTGACAGAAGCAAATATTCTTATAGAAATCAACTTTAGACAGTTTTTGATGAATACCTGATATGCAGAGACCTTAGTTTGCTAACTAAAAATAAAAATAATCTCAGAGATTCAGATACCAGATAACTCTAAAACTGATTACTTGTTGTAAAAGTGGAAATCTAAAGGGCGCTCTTCCACAGAGCAGGTCCTTGTTGATCTACAAAATCACAGACTGGTCTACAACAGAGGGTTGCTTCAGGGAGCTTCCAGACCTCCCTCACCGCGGTTTGGGTTTGGCTTAAGTGTCTCAAAATATTTTGTTGAGACACCAGAATTCCACCCTATTAAGCATGGAAGATAGGATCTTGATCTAAAAATGTTAAGTATATTCAATGAAGAGACAGCTTGCTCTTTATACAGAATATAATTTGAAGGCCCATAACATCATTTTTAAAAAAGAAATCTAGCCTTAAGTTGTGACAAAATATCAGAAAAAAAATAATCTGTTATTATGAGGACTGAAATATGACAGCAGGGTAGTCTTTGTTAAGGCAATTATATAAAAACAATTTAATTATATATCAGTGTGTTGCAGAAAAGTGGACGTGAGAACTGTAATTGCTTTTTGTGAGTCTGTAAAGAGCCTTGAAACCTTGCGCCATGTCCCCTCTACAGAGTGAGTACCGTGCACAGAATAAACCAGATGTAAAGTAGCTCTGTTTTCTCCCTGGGTTATTACAGAGAGAAGTTTATTTTGCAGAGGCTATATAGTCTGACACCTCAGTCCCTGTACTTAGCAGTTTACACAACTAGTAGGCACTCCATTAATACTTTCTTTATGAAACATCACAGATCTAGCCCCAGACCTTTTCGAGAAATGAGAGAATACTGATAAAATAAAAAATTAGTTTCTCTGCCTCATTCAGAATGTTTGTGCATAATTACACATACCTAGAGACTGCTATATACCATAACCAGTCTTGCTCTAAGAACGATACTGCATTTTATGATGCATATCAATTTCACGGCCACCAAGGAAACATGTCATAAATGAGAAAATAATTAACAAAGAAGACCTAAATTATAGCCAAATAGCAGTATAATTAAGTACCAACAAATTAAAAAATCAGTCCAATCTCATTATCAAATAAAAGCTATTCTAAGTAATGTGATAAAAGCTTTTAAAATTCACAAATATTCACAAATATTAGTTTTATTATCAGCATCTAAATATTAAGATACTAATATTAATAAAGATTCTTAATACTAAGTATTTGATTACTAAGTATTTTGTATTAAGCACACGGTTTTTAAATCTTCACCTACTTTTTGTAGCAATTTTTTAAAACTAATTTTCAGAAATTTATCTTAAAGCTTCGCACCACTATGACATGAATAAAATGCTCCCTGTAAGAATCATTTAAATAGAAGCAATGGTTACCTTTTTGAAATGCTCATGCATGTGAACACAAAAAAGTTCAGTTTCCCATGAACAAGACTCAGCATGTGTCACTTACCAAATGTTACTAATATAGAAAGCTTAAAAGCACTGTAGACAATCTGACAAATGGTTCTACAACTTTGCTTTCATATATTATCATTATTTTCCAAGAGAGCACAACATGGCCTTCTCACTATCTCACTCTGTAGTGTACTACAGGTGAACAGTTACACGACCACTTTCAAGGAACATGGCTTTAAGTGACATTCTCCTTAATCTTGTAACTAACACTCTTATAAACACATTTCCCCTTTTCTACTGTAACTTGGTAAAGCTATAAAACAATGGTTTTTAAAAATTAAATCATTTTTCTTACTATATTTAGGAGGGAGAACTCAGTAATGATTAAGTCTATCATTATTACATTAAAAATGAAGTTTCTCCATTTAAAATCACTTCATGCTACAATCATAAATCAATTTTACTTCATGGAATAAACACAATTACTTTAGGATTTAATTTTGTTTATGGGAAAAAGAAAGCACTTAGTAACCTTTCAGTTTCAAAGACCACTCAACAAAGACAATTTCCTTAATATTTCCTACATAGAATTTAATGTCTTACTCTCACTCCTATGGCAGTGATTAGTCAGAAAAGAATTTCTTTGGCCCAAAGGCATAAGGAACTCTCAATATTATGTTACTGAAGCATTCATATACCAATGGTCTTAGAAATTCCATTTAACCACGGTATTCATAATCAGTTAGTATTATTTCAGAGTAGAAAATGAGGGCCTTGAGTGAAATAGCAAGATGGTGGTGTGGAGAGATCACAAATATTTCAAAGCTCATTTTAATATTTTCAATTTAAATATTTAAAATGAAACTATTTAATATTTAAAAGTTCAGTTTTAGACTTCTGGCCAAGATGGAACACTGCACCCCCTCGAACAACCAAAACAAGGACAACAAATTTAAAAACAAAAAGTAACCAGAACTGACAGAAAAACTGTATGGAAGTCCTACAAGCAAGGAGTGAAAGAAAAAACATTCACCCAAACCGGGAGGAGGGGTAGAAACAGGCAGCTGGGTACACAGGACCCACGGCAAGGTGGCAGCTGGTAGACCAGGCCAGGCAGTAGCTTGCAGACTGGCAGTCCCACATCGAGTGTAGATAAACTGGGAGGAACAACTGGGAGTGAGAAAGACCACGCAACCCAGGGATCCAGTGCAGGGAAATAAAGCCTCAAAGCCTCTGACTCAAAACACCTGTGCGGGTTGAGGTGCCAAGAGAAACTCCCAGCCTCACAGGAGAGTTTCATTGGAGAGACCCACAGGATCCTAGAACATACACAAACCCACCCACCCAGGAATCAGCACCCAAAGGGCCCAATTTGATTGTGGGTAGAGGGGGAAGTGACTAACAGCCTGCTGAGAGTGGAGCAAGTGGCACTGTTTCCTCTATGACCCCTCCCCCACATACAGTACCACAAGGTAGGGGAGTGGGTTGCCCCGCTCTGGTGAACACTTAAGGCTCCGCCCCTTACTACATAACAGGTGTGCTAAGACAAAAAAAAAAGGCCCAAATGAAAAAAAAGTTCAAAGCTCCGGAAAAAAATACAACGAAGTGACAAAGAGATAGACAACCTATCAGATACACAGTTCAAAACACTGGTTATCGGGAAGCTCCAGGGACACACTGGGTACTTCAACGACATAAAAAAGACCCAGGCAGCAATGAAGGTCACACTATGTGAAATAAAGAAAAATTTACAGGGAACCAACAGTCACAGGAAGGAAACCAGGCCTCGAATCAATAGTTTGGAGCAGAAGGAAGAAAGAAACATTCAACCAGAACAGTATGAAAAACAAGAATTCAAAAAAATGAGGAGAGGCTTAGGAATCTCCAGGACATCTTGAAACGTTCCAACATCTGAATCATAGGGGTGCCAACAGGAGAAGAGGAAGACCAAGAAACTGAAAACTTATTTGAACAAATAATGAAGGAGAACTCCCCCAATCTGGCAAAGGAAATAGACTTTCAGGAAGTTCAGGAAGGTCAGAGAGTCCCAAAGAAACTGAACCCAAGGAGGGACACACCAAGGCACATCACAATTATATTACTCAAGATTAAAAATAAGAAGAGAATCTTAAAAGCAGCAAGAGAAAAGGAGAGAATTACCTACAAAGGAGTTCCCATTAGACTATCAGCTAATTTCTCCAAAGAAACCTTGCAGGCAAGAAGGGGCTACTGCAAAGAAGTATTCCAAGTCATGAAAGGCAAGGACCTCCATCCAAGATTACTCTCTCCAGCAAAGCTACCATTTAGAATGGAAGGGCAGATAAAGTGCTTCCCAAATAAGGTAAAGGTAAAGGAGTTCATCATCATCCAGCCCTTATTATATGAATTGTTAAAGGGAGTTTTCTAAGAAAAAGAAGAAGATAAAAAATATTAACACTAAAATGACAACAAACTCACAGTTATTAACAATCATACCTAAAACAAAACCAAAAGCAAACAACTAGCACAGGAACAGAATCACAGAAATGGAGATCACATGGAGGGTTATCAGTGGGGGAGTGGGATGGGGAGAGAGAAGGAAAAGGTACAGAGGATAAGTAGCATAAATTGCAGGTAGAAAATAGACAGGGGGAGGGTAATAATAGTATAGAAAATGTAGAAGCCAAATAACTTATACGTATGACCCATGGACATGAACTAAAGTGGGGGAATGTGGTTAGAAGGGGGTGTGCAGGGTGGAGGGGAATAAAGAGGGTAAAATGGGACAATTACAATAGCATAATCAATAAAATATATTTAAAACTTTTTTAAAATTCAGTTTTAACTGAAATGTAACACTGCTGAATTCATGAGGAAGGTTTGCTGCACTGACCCTGGAAGAGCTGGAGGAACCGCGGGTGCAGGGCCGAGGGGATCACGCTCTCAGGCAGCTCCCTGAGGAAGAGCTTCAGCAGACTGGCCGCAGAGCAGACGTCGCCATCTGTCCGGAGCTCCACAGGCTCGCCGCTCTCGAACTTTAGTCGAAGTTGTTCTACTACCTTCCTGTTACCATTCACCCTGAAAAGGCCCTCCTGGGTGAGTCCTGGAACAGTAAAGGAGACGCACAGAAAATAAGCAGAGGTCTCTCACAATTCAAGCTCCAAAGAATAGCAACAACAAAAATGAATAAATCTCAGGACAGGAGCCTCTGAAAACTATCATGACCAAGCACTGGAATAGTTTCACATTTTGTGAAAATGTTTCCTTAAAATAATAAATTTTCGTGTCTATTACATACCAACAAAAAGCATATGCAATTATTATAAAAGCTGACTTCTAAAAATAAGGTTCTAAAAATAAGGTTAGCACATATATAATCATAGAACATACACCACTCTACAAAGGAATTTTATTCATACAGTACCTAACAGAAACTTACCAAGTGCTATTTGAACCCGGGGTTAAGTTTTTGCCATGTACTATATGAATAAAATTTCTTCGTTTTAGCACTTTTGAGAACTATTTAAAAAATGTGATATGCATGTAAAAACTCCTTAACTATATGTGATTACCTTTGAAATAATTTAATTAAGAAGTAATATTTCTTTAGTAATTGCTAAATTCAAAGTGCAGGACTCCATGAGACTATAAACTAGTGTAAGACAAGATGCTTGCCTCTAGCTGACTGATGGAGGATTTAGTCTTGCTGGCTGGGGTCCATAGAAGGCTTCATGGGTGAACATTTGGCCCCTTTGTATAATTTTTGGCTAAAACATAGGCAAGATGAAAGGGCTGAGGCTGATGTATGTGAAGCTAATGTATTTAAGCTTCGGGCCCCTCATTTGTTTGGGCTCATCCCAGTGTTCTGTCCCTAATTTAGTATTTTTAATTTTGTATTATTTTTCTTAAGAGGGCTCCAAAAGGATTAAGCAACAGGCCCCCAAAAAACCTTGACAAAGAAGATCAAATATATGAAATAAGAAGAGGAGACAGTACAGCATAAAGGTAGACAAATAAAAGTATGGACTGGTTAGGTCTAAAAGTTATAGAGTAATAAATGGAAGAAGTGGGGTAGGGCCATGAATGCCAAGTTAAAGACTGCAGACTTTATTATTGGAGTACTTCATCAATTGGAAGGGAAGGGGGCAGGGACTGGAGGAGAACATAATATAATCAAGGTTTAAGGAAGACCTACCTCCTAAGAAGTAAAGAATGCAGAGGGCAGAGACCTCACCTCCCAGAGACTATATTCTAGTAAGGCCCTAAGACAGAAGTCATGGTGGGAGGGGAGTGAAAAGGGGAGAATAAAGGTGATTTGGGAACTTAGTACAAAAGGGAAGTAGGGAAGAGGAAGGGATGAAAGGTAACTTAAAGTTTGAAAACAAGAAATCCAGGGGAAAAGCATTTTAAAGGATAAGGTGAAGTGGGCATTAAGGGATGGTAACTAGTTTAGGGTAGAAGATAATGATTTTCAGCTCATTCACTGTGCTGGGTTTGAGCAGATGGAATACCATGCAAGCAAGTGAGCCAGAGCACGAGGAAATGTTAGAGGTATAAGAAACAGTCTTTCTAAGAGAGTAACCCAAGGACTCAACTTGTCACTCTTCTTTGCGAGAACCTAATGGTGAAAATTACCAATGGCAAGCACTGAAGCCTATTTGAATTATTTAGGTGTAACTTTTTAAAATTTTTATTTATTGGTTTCAGAAAGAGAGAGGAAGGAAGGAGGGAAAGGGAGATAGAAAAAGAGGGGAAGGTGGGGGGAGAGAGAGAGAGAGAAACATCAATTTGCTGTTGCAGTTATTCATGCATTCGTTGTTTGATTCTTGTGTGTGCCCAGACCGGGGATTAAACCCACAACCTTGGCATATGGGGCGACATTCTAAGCAACTGAGCTACCTGGCCGGGGACTACTGGAATTATTTAGATGGAAGATGTTTGTTTATATCAGCCTTTGCTTCTTTCTCTTACCTGCTAATTATATTGCTCTTTCTAAAGAAAAAGGATATTAATTTCTTTGATAAGGCATTTTATGAACCCTTTAACTCAACAAATATTTAATAAGTACCTGGCACTATGTTAGGTACTGAAGATAACAACTGTGAGAAAGAAAAAAATCTGAACACTACCATTATTCTCAGGGAGTTTGTAGTCTGGTGAGATGTTTATATTTTTCTATATATACATATATTATTTGGCTGTGAAGAACAAGAATATCAAAAGTTGACATGACTTTTAGCTCAATTTTGACAGAAATTGTGAAACCAGAGATATTAAAAATATTTAACAACCAGTATGGCCAGGGTACCATGTAATCAGAGGGGATACCAGTCACTACATGTGATAGGCAGCTTCCCAAGGGACCCCCCTACTTGGGATCCACGTCCATGTGTGATGCTCTTCCCTGCAGTGTGGGCTAGACCCAGAAATTTGCTTTAACCAACGGAATGTAGCAAAGTGATATGATTAGGTACTAATCTCATTTCTAAAATTAGGTTGTAAAAGACTTATGGTGTCCATCTTGCTTGCTTATGTTCTCTCTCTCTGGCTCTTCTTATTCGCTCACTGTGATGATCCAGCTGCTATTTACTTTGTTAGCTGCCTTATGGAGAGGTCCATATGGCAAGGAACTGAGGGCGGCTTCTGGACAAGAGTCAGTGAGTAACTGAAAACCTCAGGTCATACCCCACAAGGAAATGAATCCTGGCAACAGCCATGTGAATGAGCTTGGAAGTGAACATTTCCCCAGTCAGGGGCTGATATGACTGCACCTTCAGCCAACACCATGTCAGAGGCCTTACAAGAGACCCCAAGACAAATGACACCACTGCTGAGATTCCTGACACACAGAAACTGTAAGATAATAGACATTGTTGTTTTAATCTGCTATGTTTAGGGGTAATCTGTTCTACAGTAACAGATAACTAATATGATATGCCATTTCCTTTAATACTGCAGAGTTACTACTAGAAGACTTTAGCTTAGTCATTTTTTAAAGCTTTCAAGGTCTGTTTTTCCCACTCCACAAAACTTCATCTGTACCATCAGAAATGTATACTGGCACCAAGCAAACAGCACCCAATAAAAGAGGATCCCATTCCTGGTCAAGGCCCAAATCTTGAAAATTTAGAATTTTGCATCACAGTTCTCTATCTACTCAACTCCTGAGTCTGTTTTTGATCCAGTAAATGCTCCCAGGATCAGATTTTACAGTTCTGACCTTAGTTTTTCTAGTTCTGACCTTAGGTTTTCTCTTCAACAAGGTTTATTGACCACAAATAAACATACCTCCAGTCATTCCAAAATAACCACCCAGCTCTAAAAATTGGCTTTGGTTTTGCAGGTTCTAATTCCACTGGACCTTATTAGTGGAGAGATATATTATAAATGGAAGTAATCAGAGTTAATGCTTCTCGACCATTTTTTTCCTGCCTCCATTCCATTTTCTGACACAACCCTTCCCACAGAAACATCTCTCCCTCAAACAACTCTTATGGTCCATACCGAATTTCAACCAGAGGAAGTTTAACCCTGGCCATGGCTATATTTACACTCTGGGCAAAAATCTATACAGTTTTAAAAGCCCCTTTTGCACGTACAATATATCCAATACCCACATGAAGCTTATTAGACTATATAATCTCTAAATTTTCCTAAATTTTTAGGAAATGATGATAATAACAGAAATGTTCAGAAGGAGATATCTAGAAGGCTCAGTGACATTCTTATGCATTTCTGAAACTCTGTTAGATTTGATTTCAGGAGAGAGGGGGCTAATCATCATGAAACGCCAACTTAATGATTTAGAGCCCTGGCCAGTGTGGCTCACTTGGTTAGAGCGTCATCCCTAGGCATGTGCCATCCATTCCCAGGCATGTGCCATGACTGGTTGTGGGTTTGGTCTCCAGTCTGGATCGGGGAGCATATGAGAAGCAACCGATTGACATTTCTCTCTCACATCAATGTTTGTTTCTCTAGCTCTCCCTCCCTCCCTCCCTTCCCCTCTCTGTAAAATCATCCATCTTCGGGTGAGGATAAATATATATAATGGTTTAGAAATGAAATTATATAAGCCAATTAACATCTACACCATTCTACTTTTTTTACAACTGAAATATTTATTTCAAAATAGTGTGAATACATTGTTAGAAACGAAATATTCCCGAAATCAGAATTTGCCTGATTGGGACATTTTGGCTTTGAAAGTAGCATAACAATATGTAAGCATATTCTGACATCTGGTGGTGAGACGAGAATTCTACACTGTTTAAATCAGTGTATCACACAATATCTTCATGCTCAAGAGGAGTCCAGTAACACTGTCTGCAAGCTTGATTACTTTAAAATAGTCTGCATATGACATGCCTTGTAACTCACAAGATTTTCCTCTGAATCTAAAAAAAAAAAAAAGAAAAAACATACTTTTTATTTAAAGGAAAAGTCCAAAGTCTATTTGATATAGGCCTTAATGAATCCTCTCTGTCCTAAAATTCCTTTACAGTAAGAGTTCTCCTCATGCCAAATTCTTAAATGTCGGTACCTAACTAACGAAGTAGGAGCATGATGTCTACCTATGGTTAAACTATAATGACTAATCATCTTTAAACCCCATACCAGGTAGAGTGCCTACTCATAGGTGCGCAATAAATATTTGCTGACTTACAAATAAGTAAGTTTGAAGTTGTGCTTCTAACTGACATGGGCTCTTTGGCTTACTAACACGATAGCTGCAAATACAATAAAGAGCTTCTGGTTGTCCAAATAGTAATTAACTATATAACCTCCCCAAATAGTGGGTAGATAACCTCTCCCAGCTTTCCCAGTCAAAGATTCTGAGCTAGAAGATCTAAGGGACCACCCAATGCAAGGGCGTTCTGAAAAGATTCCACTAGCGATTCTATTCCACATTCCTAGTTAATAATGACTGATTTTTCCCACTAAAACATTTTGTTCGAATTACCTGAATATACGCCATTAGCGCATAACTAAAGATACACTAAGGAGAAGTAGAATAAAACCAATCTTTAATTCAATTTTCACCAAAATTGTCATACACTGATGGTGTAACTATAAACCAGTCCAACTTTTACAGAGCACATATCC